GGGAATCGCCAACGACGGCCTCGATTCCCAAATTGGTGCAGTTTGGAGTTTTTTGCCATTTGCTGCCGGAAGTGATGGCCGATGGCCCAAGAGCTCGGCGAAGGCACCCCCATGTCGATGGTATCGTCGTCACATCGTTGAGCATGCAAGATGGCAGGCTGAACGCAACACCTGACAGCTGAAACTTGTCACTTGCCATTCAGAAGGCTTGAAGCCCGTTGAGAAGAGGAGCTTGGGGGGGACGAGTTGAGAGTCGAACACTGCGCTGATCGCTGTAAGAAGCCAAGGTCTTCCGGGCACTCGCCGCCCTTTCAAAACAACAGCCCAGGTCATTGGCCAAAGGTGGACGGGACACGGGGGAGAGCGCTCGAAGGCCGTGCTGCCTCAGGGCATGCGAAGCCACAGTGTTTCTGAGTGGGCCACGGACGGTGTGCACGCACGAACTGGCTGCATGGGCATTACTTCAACCTCGAAGCAAACTCTTCCTTGTATCACATGGGTGATGTGTCCGGAACCTTTGCAGCAGACATCTGGAGAAAGCATCTCCGTCGAGTCTACTCTCTGAAGTCGACAAGATTGATAAATCTTCAGAGTTGTCGGCAGGTTGCAACTAGGATGACAGTGTCTAAAGCTGCAACGGCAGCGGCAACACTCCGGTGGCATCTGGCAGAAATCACACCTGACGACAAAATACACCTTGGGCAGTGACGCCTTCTAAGCCAGCTAGACACGCTGGGGCATGCTAGGAGGAACGAGCAGCAAGCCCGGGCGTGGAGATCAATGGAACTCAGCGTCGCCCATCGAATTCGGCAGCTTGTTGTGAGGCTCCGGCTGAGGGTGGTGACGCTGCAGTGCTGCGGCCGTCGGCGGCATGCCGACTGCCCCTCGCAGCAGTAGGAAGATGATTACTGGCAGCTGGCCTCCACCGCAAGTGTAGGCGAATGACACCTTCGTTGGCAGTGACGCCTTCTGAGCCAGCTAGACACGCTGGGGCATGCTAGGAGGAACGAGCAGCAAGCGCCGCGGCTTGAACTACTCTCAGGCTCAAGGCTTGAAGGCGTGAGCTGCTGAGTGCAGAGCCTGGTGAAGGACCCGTGCGAAGCCGTAAGGAAGCCTTGCGCAAGCGCCACTGAGCTTGGCAAACTTTAGGACCTTGGGACACAATGCTTGGAGTCGACGGTTTGATGCTGCCACCTTGGAGTCGAGTATGAAACCGCACCTCGTAACAGTAGGAAGATGACTACTGGTAGCGGGCCTCCACCGCCAGTGCAGACGAATGACACCTTGGTTTGCAGTGACGCGTTCTGGGCCAGTCGGGCACGCTCGGGCATTCTGAGGAACGAGCCGTCACCGTCACCCATCGAATTCGGCAGCTTGTTGTGAGGCTCCGGCTGAAGGTGGTGACGCTGCACAGTCTGCCGACCGCCCCTCGCAGCAGTAGGAAGATGATTACTAGCAGCTGGCCTCCACCGCAAGTGCAGACGAAGCACATCTTCGTTTGCAGAGATGCGTTCTCGGGCATGCCAGGAGGAACGAGCAGCAGGCCCGGGCGATGCGGAGATCAATGTTGATCACCATCACGCCGTCATCCATTGCTACGGCTTAGGCCGGTGACACTGCACATTGAAGCGGCCTTTGAGGGGATGCGAAGGATGCCCGCAACAGAAGACAAACTATCACTGTAAGCTGGACTCCGCTGGAAGTGCAGACGCAATACGCCTTCCATGGCAGCGACGAGTTTTTAGCCAGGCAGAAATGCCGGGACAAGCCAGGAGTGGCACGCTTTGATGCTGCTCGGTTCACTGGCATTGACCCGAACCCGAAGCGAAGTCGGGCCGAGGCCTTGCAAGCAGCACCGGGATGGCACACCTCAACCAGACAAACTGGCTGGCTGGTCTTGACAAGCTTCGCGTCGACACTGCGAAGGAGAACTCTCGCAGGGGCATCCTTATCAAGTGGAACCCACAGGCCGCATGTCCACATGCACGAGGCAGATCAGTTCAGATGGGGTAACCCAGACAGACGAAGAACTGCTAGAAGACATGCCGGAGCCTCGGAAGCATAAGCATGAGCTTTACAGCAATTACACACGCACAGTCGGCGCATGCAGCAGTAAATCGATGACTGGTTGGATACGAGGGGAATTTGAAGGCTGGCTGGGTCGCTGTGATGTGCGGTACACCATTGAGCTTTCGCACACTGACGCAACGCCGATCTTCTGCAGGCTCCAGTTAGCGAAGCCGGCAGCAGATACGGTAGACGCATTCAGGGAGGTGACCTCGAGAGGCTCGTGAAGCAGAAAGTCGCAGTCGCTCAA